AGTGCCATTTAGGAGTTAAATCACTTTGTTGGTACAGCTCTAGTTACCCCACCCACCCCCCACATGTGACTTGCACTGTCTTTCTTAACACTTCCTGTAAATAGAGATCTAATGTTTAAAATTGCTTTATTGCACAGACTTTTTTCATTTAGAATTTCTTACCTCCTGCTCTGTTAATAGCCTTCTAGACCCTGTAGGAAGCCCTGGTGTTTGATTAAAGTTCAGTTTACAGAGCAGGACATAACACTTCTAAAGTAAGTTAACATCGGATTGAAACCATTTTGTTCATGCAGGTTGTATGAGTAACAGCCGGAGGAGGTGTGGTTAGGGCTGCATAGACAGAAACAAATATTATTTAACTCCTAAACGTCAGAGAATTGAGCAGTGAGACTGCAGGATTATGACCTATACACTAAAACGGCTTCATTAAGCTAAAGTTATTTTGATGCCTATAGCATCCATTTAAGGTAGAAAAAGTCTACTGGCACTCAAGCTGTTTAAGACCATAACTTCCATGTTGTTTTCTCAGCCTAGCTAAGCAGCATGGGAATTTTAGTGTGCAGGAACTAGAGTGACAACATTTTGCCACCCGTGCCTTAAAAGGACACTGTATGCACTTCATCTCATTGAATTGAATATAGAGTCTGGAGTCTCCTTGCATAATCCGTCCATTCAATGTTAAACCGCTTTGAATGGTTTAATGTTAAACGAGAGTCCCCAGCTGCCCATCCCCTATGTGCGGCTTGGGCTGACGAGGATTCATTAGCCTAGGCAGCAATGTGTGGCTGGGATTGGCTGATAGTATTAGCTGACGTCTTTCAGCCTATCACAGCACCCATTCTTGCTATAACCTGGTATGGTTAAAGGGAAGTGTGTAATCTCTGACTTAGTCATACCTTCAGTAGGGATCAGACTGTGGGCGGCCAGGAACCGTGTTTGGTGTTAAACGATAAAACTGTGCATGCAGTGCAGTGCCTGACTTTCGGTAAAATACTATCCCTTGCCTTCAGCTAGCTACCATTCTCATGACGCTTAGCTGTCCAGCATGGTTTGCAGGTTATCCAGCATGGTTTGCAGGTATATCAATGTGTTGCCTTAACTTCTCCAAATCTCTGCGCCATATCATCAACCTTCCATTGCCGTTAGCATAACGTGCTTTGTTCTGCAAAGTGCCCTCTTCTGTAGGCACTTTAAACACACATACTTGTTACTTGAGTTCAAAGAGCTCCTTTGATCGAACGCTTCTTCTGGTTAACCTTCATATTCATTTGTATAACAACCTAACAAAAGTCTAATGCGTTGCTACATTTCTCTTAATCTGTCCTTCTCTGTAGCATAGATGCTTTCATACCATGTCACGCACAAACGGCAATGTTTCATTCATCCTATTATTTCTTTCCCATGACTTGCTGCAGAAATTGATTAAGTGGATAAAATAGTGTGAATTTCAATAGAAGCAGCCATGCGACCATCGCACGGTGCATGCACAGGTGCTGTTTCCCTAACAAATCATGCTGTCGCTACCCCTCCTCTCACTCACTCTGAAGACAGCCATCAACCAAATTGCACAAACAGTGCTTAAAGGACCACTATAGTGCCAGGAAAACATATTTGTTTTCCTGGCTCTATAGGGTCATTGGGTCCCCCTCCCACCGGGCTCTGGGAGGAGGAAGGTTAATCCCTTACCTTTTTTTCAGCACCGGGCGCTGGGGACACTCCTCCTCATTTCCCGTCATCAGCCAGTCTCATAGGAAAGCATTCTCAAGTGAGGGTACAAATTAGGGTTAGGTAAGTGCTTCTAACCTCTCTCACACTCTATTCTTACCCTAACCCTTGGGGTAAGGGTTAAAATAAAGTGTGAGAAATCACTATTTAGTGATATTCCCCTAATGTGAAATATCACTAAATATGAACAAGTCCCTAATCCTAACCCTAATTTGAACCCTAACATTAACCCTAAATGTCCCATGTCCTAAGCTTAGTGAATGCACTAACTATAATGAAAGTGGAAAACTAGTTTTACTTACCTTCCAGGACCTTGCTGTGGAGGAGTAGCAGGAGTGCTAGCACGCATGTGCAGCACAGGATCCAGCTGATTCCCCTCACCGGAAGTGACGGGGGTATAGCAATCTGACGGGGTATAGCAGACTGATAGAACACCGGCCTTGAGTGTTCCAGTTGTAATGTATGACAGCCTTCATGACTGTACCACATAAAATTAATGAGATTAGTTAATGTCTTTAAGGGAAGTGTTGAGTACATAGACATACACATTGTATCCCGCATTGCTTTCTTTAGGACACCAGGGATTGGCTGTAGTTTCTGGGATACTTCCTGTTTAAAGTGGACTTCAGAGGAAGTGGATCAAAACTGGGAGAAAACATTCAGAATTTTTTTTTATATGTATTTTTATTTATCTGAAAGGGACATACATCACTTGACAATTATTGTATTAAATCAGCAAGCAAACATTTAGCAAACCAAAATAAAGGAAGCAAAACTTTGAAAAGTATATAATAAATGCTTCTAAAATTACTATAAAATTGGTCAGATTGCATTGTTGGGGCTGCCTCTCGGCTAGGAGAATTTCTTCAGCCTCACCTCCCTCCATTCCCTTTACACACCCTTCTCAGTTTCAGACCAGTTCACTAATGACAGAAACAGGGCATCATTGTGCAGCAGCAGGAGAGAGAAACCCGATAACAGAGCCTGCTCTACATGCTGTCACGGGAGTCATACCCCAACACGGACGAAAGAGGAAACCCACAAAAGGTGGATCCGAAAGACGTATTACCGAGCCTTAGAATGGCCGGACTTAATGTATTAAATTAGCGAGAATCAAGGTCAAGGATTCAGAAATACACATACATGTCAAGACAAAGCCGGGTCAGGGTACCAGAAATCACAAGTCAAATACGAAGCCGAAGTCAGGATACCAGAAATCACAAGTCAAGTATGAAGCCGAGGTCATACATAGGAAATCACAAGGGAATCTCTAGGAGCACTAAACAAGGATCTAACAAGAAATCACAATATGGCAATGAATGGAGGCTAAAATAATTTGTAAATAGGTTTAAAAGAGTTCCCATTGGTCCACGTCATCTCTGCAAACCCTAAACAGCATTGGGTCACCCAGATGACATGGTCCCTTTAAGGTCATGGCATAATATTTTATTTATAGGGGCTGCAGTTCATCCCGCAAATTAGCAGAGAGAGAAGTTCGCAGTACCCAAGGTAAGCAATATCTAATCAAGCCGCGTGGCCACGTAGAGCATTCGAGCCGCGCAGCCTGAGGACTGAGGTAATGCGTCCACACAGTGCATTCTGCCCGTATGTGCCGGATAAAGGTCAATTTATGACACATGCATCACTGATCCGACTTCCTCTCTTCTCCCCCTGTCAGGGAGTTGCAAGATGAATATATTTTCAAAATACACTTGTGCAAATCTGTCAGGCATGCACAATGCACTTTTTGAGCATTCCTAGGGATAGGACACTGATTGGTTAATGTCCCCTCTGGCGTGTGTGTAGAAAGCATAAGAGAAAAAAAGCTTGCATATTGAGGTAACTCTCTCATTCAAAAGCTTCAGCTGAAGCTTTTGAATGAGACAGTTGTCTTAAAGTAGTGCATGTCCCTTGAATTAATAAAATAGGTTTGTATTAAAATGGGTGGCGATAACCATCATGCACTCTCCCTTTAACTAACCTAAGTATGCATTACTTGTTCTTCAAATTACATTGTTTCATTCCCTTTTTTAGCCCTGGCGAGTAGAAATTCACCCCTGGTAGGTATTTTGTGGTTGCAGTGGTGATCAACATTTAAGGTCTGGCTAGTAGAATAGGGGATAATTTTTTTAACCCTAAATAAATGTATTTAATTCTGCAAAATAATTTCTAGGGAAAATAAAGAGCTTGGTGGCTATGGCTTTTGTGCCTTCTAATGAGCAGGGGTCACTATGAAGAGGAAGTTGGCCTGCAGAGGTTAACTGAAGCAATGGATGAAAAGGAGCGGCTGCCAGAAAGCTTATAAATACTAGATGGGTGACAGTCTTGCTGAGAAGCTGTAAATGTGATGGGTATTGATGGATAGACAATGATGCATTTTAATTACCTTCCATGGTAATAGAGGTCAAGAAGGTGTTGTGTAACGGTTAGGTGCCAGCAATGAACTATGAGATGTTGGTTGGTTCATGGCATCTTCTGAGCTCTGAGTTTCTCTATATAAAAGAGCATTTTCTAAGATTAGCAAAAGGGTATTTAAAGTTACCATACTTTAACATTATATGTAATATTGGAAACTGCATTATCTTGACTCAAAAAGCTCTCTGACACAACTTTAAAATTTGAGGCAAACAAGTCTACCTTGGAAATACATGTGTTCGTTTCTCAAACCCTTTGGGAAATGCGGAGCTACTCAGCCTACCAGCTTCCCAGTCCCTCCGGTGCTGGCCCCTCCAACAGTTCACCACTTTGACTAACATCATCAGAATTGATTATCTCACCCATTCCAATGGGTTCCCATATGAAAATCATTGCAATGGCTAAGATTATCAAGGAAGCAGGATGAGGCGGGACCAAACGCCAGCCTGGCCAATCAGCATCTCCTCATAGAGATGCATTGAATCAATGCCTCTCAATGGGGAAATTTCAGCAGCTCCATGCAGAGCGTGGAGATGCTGAACGTCAGTGCTGCAAACTGTACTGCACTGACCCAGGAAGCACCTCTAGTGGCATCTGATGAGTGTCCACTAGAGGTGTTTCTAGGCTGGAATGTAAACACTGCCTTTTCTCTCAATAGGCGGCACTTACATGAAAAAGCATGCTGGGACTGACTATACTTACAAGAACAACTACATTAAACTACATTGAAATACCTCTCAAATCCGTGCAATGTAGTCACCAAATTAAGGATAAGGGCATTAAATATGATTATTTTATAGCCTGAGAGAACCACCAAGAGGTCCGAAAGTGTTGGTCAGAGTCAAATGAAAGTCATAGGCATAAGCCAACACCACAAATATATTTCCTTGTATTGTCATGCCTGCTCTGTTTTGGCCAGTTGGATTAGGACGTAAAAGGGGCTCAAAAGACAAAACATCAGGGAAGAAATGGAGCAACCCCATTGTGTTCTGTTGTACAACAGGGACATCCTGCTCTTGAGATTAATATTATGTAAGAATCAAAGGGGAGGCTCTCTCAGAAACCCCCTGTAGTCCAGGAGCTCAGAAAACGATATTCAACTCATCGAATATGCTGAGAAGCATCATATAAATGTCTGCTAGGCATGGTCTAGATGATAATCAGTAGACTCCAGCATTCTCTGAACACCCCCACCATGCCAAAAATAATGCTTCTATAGCTGTCAACATCTTGCACGGGTAGGTTCATGATTAACAAAGTTGTAAATGGATCTGTTTATGTCTAAGGTGATCTGGAGTGAACATTCCGGGCTTAGATATATACCGTTTGCCGCAGTTAAAACCATTTATTTGGATGCCCATACAATTTGTTCCCTTCAAGATCATTAGCATTTACAGTTATATGCAGGGATATGGATACTGTATTGATACAATACAATTTATTTATCACTTAGACTTGTGCAAGCTACGTGTAGGTGGAAGATAATGAGCTGAGTACTGTACATCGATGTGGGATGGGAATGGGCATTCTGGCTTGCTTCTAATAACTCATATTTCCTTTGAGGTTTCCTCTGGCATCAAAGGGAACTTGTGCTGTCATTGCACTGTGAATGAGTGCAAGCAAGGGCATGTACCTCCGTCCTACAGTTCAGCTTCCTGGTTGCTAGGCAACATCACAGAATCCATGGAATAAATATTTATTACTAATCGATATTCCTTTGTTTTATGTCATAAAATAATTTATCAACTGGAATATAATACAACAACAATATAATCAGCGGTGTTGGTACGCTCAGAAAATCAGTTTACAGTTTTTAGAGTTAATCAGTGCTTGCTTGATTACACCCCCCTCCCTGCATGCTGCCCATGATCTGTGTTTTGAGAAACAAAATATGGCATTTTCAGAGGGTCAAGCTCAATAAAAGCAAACTAAATATCATCTCATTTTGAATGATTTCAAATCAGCAATGGTTTTTCATTAGTAGCAGTCACCGGCATAGGAGTCAGGACCTAAAGATGCACTAATTCAAATGTTTCAACCACTGTGGATGTCATTATGGCCAGAATATGAGCCATTTAGGAATTTTGTAACAAGATTTAGCTATGGTATTATCCATTCCTCCCCCTTCCATATTACCCACAGCAATATGTTTTATTGCCTCTCTCACCTTCTCCATGTAAATGGCTTATAGATATATAAAACAATAAAATTCTCAATTCAAAAGCGCGTAATTAAGGCCACAGTAGCATTTGTAGACTTGCAGTGACATTCTGCAACCAATTGACCCCTTGGCCGATGTTTTATGATGTCACCATACCTGTTTGATGCTATCCCACGGCCTTATTACATATACAGTAGGGTACACTTAATACCATCTGTTATACCCCTGAGAATGCTCGTCTGTTTTGTTTAATGTCACACATTTGAAGCTTGTATTCTAGCAACTCTAAACAAACCAATTGCAACATTGCTAATATTTAAAGTTCATCTCCATCGAGAAAAAGATACAATGCAATATTGTGAGATCTATATTTCAGGAGTACAGCAGACTGTAACTTGTTCTTGTATGATATATTTTTGTCCTCAAGAGCTGACTGCGATAATTCTGCAGAGGTTTTGTATATATGCATTGATGTATATTTTATTTAGCATCAAAAATGTACTTACCATGTTAAATTATACTTTTATAGTATTATAGTAGAGGGGGGTACATTGCATACGGAGATCTATATAAAGCCACCATACTTGTGAGTGCTGTATATATACACTAAGATTGAGATTGTATGTCTGCAGAGCTTGCAATCTAATTGTGAGACATACAACAAGGCTAAGGAGGGAGTGCAGGTTAATGGTGTTGATGGCACCAGGTACAAAAAAAGAATTAAAGTGACATTTCACTGGTAGTGGGTGATTGAGGGGGTGAGGATCTGCACTGTGCATTGTATTAGATATTCCTAAAATGTGGGACAGTAGGTGAGGAAACCTTAACTCTACAGAAGTGGAGGTTAGTGCATTATCAAGATATCACTTAATTGATGGACTATCATGAATAATGTTTACTGGGTATAAATAGACATTAGAAGGGAGATTGTTAAAGGTTTGCTGCAGTCAGAATTTGACCCATTTTAGTTGATTAGAAAACATATGCAAAAGAAAAAATTAAAAAATAGAAAAAATACTCACATTTGAGGTTCCAGTATTACTTGAGCTCTTACCAAGCTAGGAAAAGGCTTGTGGTGACTATACTTTCTATAGCACTGATACATATCTCCCAAGTTTTTCTAAGGACAGTATGGGACAGAAGAGGGCAGAAAAGCAATGTTGGTCATCACAATATCTTACATGCGCACATAGCTGACATACACACACACACACATTTCCAACCAGCACCTGTTGGTATCATCTAAACCAGTGGTTCCCAACCCAGTCCTAAAGTACCCCCTAACAATTCAGGATTTAGGGATTACCCTGTTGTGTCTAAAGTGTTTTTTTTCTTTTTTCTAAAAACACCTTAGACAAAACTGGGTAATCCCTAAATCCTAGGCTGGTAGGGGGTACTTGAGGACTGGGTTGGGAACCACTGATCTAAACCCATAGGTATAGCAGTAAAAAAGAGCAAGTACATACAGATGAGCTAGAAATAGGTTCATATTTGGAAGAATTGACAGGTTTTTAATTAGTAAGAAAAATGTGGTTAATGAAGTAAACAGCATAATCTGAAGTTACACAGCGGCGTCATGTTTTTGTCACACTGTAAATGGTAAATACATGCACGGTTACAATACACTGATGCATAGGAAATGATTTTGGAAAAATAGTTACTCAGTCTTTGACTTATTAAGTTGTAGTTAATAATAAGCCATCTAGCAAATGCATGTGCCATGTGCATACAAAGTGTAGCTTAAGACAAATATTTTATGAGGTTCTCAAAGAGAGATGTACAGATTAAAGAGAAAAGGAGTTATAACAGAGCATTCAAGTAATCCTACAGAGAAGGGTTCCTCTGGCTGTATTAGTATATGAAGCAGATATTTAACATAGAAAAAGAAATGCAAAGCTACATGAAGGTTGCCTGCAATCTCCTCGGAAAAAAAGATTGAAGTCTAGAGTGTAGTTCCCAGTTGATATAAGTGCCCATGGAAGTTAGCAGAGCTGGTATACTTGTTTTGGAAGGTAAACATTTGGGAGTTGTGTTCTTGTGCACGAACGCTAGCAGGTGAGAAGTGGTATTAGTGTCCAGGAAATTTAACGAGTGAGTATGCATAAAGGTATGCAGATGAAAGTTGATATGTGTACCCAGGTAAGTTAGCAGGGGGGAACTGGTATTAATGCTCAGTAAGACTATTTGGTGGGCATTGGTGTGAGTGCCCTGGAAAGTTAGAAGGTGGGGAATAGTATTAGAGTCCTAGAAGATCAGCTAGTGCAAGCTGGTATGGGAGTCCTGGAATGTTAGCTAGTGGAAGCTGATATGAAAGTCCTGGAAGGTTAGCTACTGCAAGCTGTTAGGAAAGTCTTGGATGGTTAGCTACTGGAAGCTGGTATGAGAGTACTGGAAGGTTAGCTGGTGGAAGCTGTTATGAGAGTACTGGAAGGTTAGCTGGTGGAAGCTGGTATGAGAGTCCTGGATGGTAAGCTGGTGGAAGCTGTTATGAAAGTCTTGGAAGGTTAGCTACTGGAATCTGGTACAAGAGTCCTGGAAGTGGACTATAGTACGAGAGTCCTGGAAGGTTAACTGGTGGAAGATGGCATCAGAGTCCTGGAAGGTTAGCTAGTGGAAGATGTTAGGAGAGTCCTGGAAGGTTAGCTACTGGAATCTGGTATGAGAGTCCTGAAAGGTTAGCAGGCGGGATTTAACTAAGCACTTAAGAAGATTGGAGTGACAGAAAGTAGTTATAAATAGAGAAGGATGTTTGAATGTGCCTGATAGTATTGAATGTTTGAAAAAGAATGGCATTGTACCCAAGGATACCAGCATTTTGTATACTTGCAGAATTAAAACGTGCCAAAATGCTTAGGTCAAAAGGTATGTATACAGTCAGTCTTCTGTTTCAACAACTAACTAAAGGCCGGAGATGTACAAGAGGTGAGAAAAGAAGCAAATGTGAGGATTAAAGAGCGTATTGGGGATGGAGTCTGGATTTGTCGATATTGATTAATGAGCAGTATTAATGCTGTTTGGCATGTAGAGTTGTGCTGACGTCTCACTGAACAAATCAAGAAGCAGGTAGGTAAGCATAGCAATGTATCTGGTAATTACTATAGTACAGTACATGGGTTTTTAGACGAGGACTTCAACATCCACTTATGTACATATAACAAGCCAAGTATACCTGAAAAAATGGTCTTGTAAAATTAATTATGAGCTAGTGACCCTCTCTTCAATGTGAAAATTTAATTTTAGCATATTAGTGGTAATTAAAATAAAGATTATGGTAATGAGCTCCATACTACTACACACTAATATTGAATGTTTGATAACAGCTTATTTCTTGCACACCAGAAATCTGCTTTTGTCTTAACAGTTTACTTACCAGAAGGAAGACACAGTGCACACATGTGTTAGCACTGAAAGTGGGGGAAAAAAATTGACTCTGACAAATTAAATTCACAGACACGCTCAGGGATGAATCATGTTAGAAATGAATGTTCTCCATTTCTTGCTATTGGCCTTTTTTGCCATATCTTGTCCCCAATTTCCATCAAGCTATTCACATTATCTACATTGATTTGACCTGTAACTAGTCTTCTTCTTTTCATTATACAGAGAATTGGAAAGGAGGAAAAAGCTCAGATAACTCAGAAATTTGTAGTGGCTTTAGCATCCTAGAAAAATTATTTTAAAAATGCAGTTCTGATAGATGGCTGTTACTGCTCTAGATACAAAGGGTTAATAAAATAATGCTGTACTGTTTTCAGATATGAAAACAATGTGCTTTTTAATTTTTTTTAAATTTGTTTGTTTTTGATAGGTCTAAAAACAAACAAATAAAATAAAATTGATATATTATGAAACCAGATTGTTTAATCTTACGAGGGTCAACTCAGCCCTTCATTCTTTTGAGAGTGTTAGTAAAGGGA